CCAACCATATGAAGAATACAACAGGCACAACTACAGAAAAGGTAAAAGCATCCGTGGTTTGGGGGGAAGAGAAGAAATTTCTGGAGTAAGGAAACTACCGTGTATGATTCTCTAACGGTGGTGACATCACGGTGCACTCTTCAAAACACAACGAAAGTGTGAAAAGTGCGTTCTACTATGCCCACGGTACTTAAAAATAATGTGTCAATATTTGCTTTTTTTGTTTTGCTTTTTGAAACGGGGTCTCTCTATGTAGGCTGGCCTTAAACTCAGTATGGAGCCCCGTCTGGCACTGAACTCACACTGAGCCTCCTGATTCCACTTCCCGGGTGCTAGGATTACAGTCAGGTACCACACATCTGGCTGTTCTTCAATGTTAACAACTGTACCACCTTGGTACTAATAGAGAAAACCAGATATGAAGGCAAAAGGATACATAGGAATTCTCTGTACTATGTGCTTCTATAACTTTTATAATTCTCTGTAAATCCAAAAGTACTTTCAGTAACTCTACCAATTAAAAACCCCATAAATGAGTAAATCTCATAACAATGGCATAAGGGGGGCCAGTGAGATAGCTCAGCAGCTAAGCTCCTGCTTAGGCAAGCTCAAGGACCCAGGTTTAATCCCTGGTACCGCACCAGCCCCACCCCCCAGGCATGCTGGGCCAGCCACCGAGACCAGGTGTGGTGGCGCATGCCTGTAATCCCAGCACTGGGGAGGCTGGAAACAGGAGGATCACTATGAGTCTGAGCTGTACAGTGAGACACCATACCAAATAAAATTTTTTTTAATGGCATAAGGGAAACCACTGTATATGTATAACTAAAGCTCCACAAGTCAGAGAAGAAAAATTTGACCATCTGTTCTTCAAAGAATACATTAGGGAAATTCCAGGGAAATTTTGTTTCTCCTATGATTACTCCTAGGAATGAGTAATCATAAAGTTTAATAGAAAAAAATGAGCAAAAGACATCAAACTGTTCAATTCCATTTCTATAAACAGAACACAACTGTAACAAGAACGAGACAGACACTATTTGCCAAGCCAAGCGCTGGGCATTTCAAACTCATGTCTTCAGCACACATAGGTAAGATAATAAACTCACAGGCATTTCCTTCGTCACGGCAATCTGCAAGGTACAGAGATGACGCAGCAAGCTACCTGGCCTAGTTTTTTACGATTCTTAATAGCATTATTGGAAATTACTGTAAATGCTGTACTAGACAAGTCATTCTCTTACATCCTAAACAGAGAGCACAGCACTGCCTCTCTGGTGTGACTACTTTGTTTTCCCCTCTCAGTTTGTTCTTCCCGTATGCAGTGTTACCCATGGTGCCCCCTGGATGCCCCATGTGTGGGTGTCCCTCTGAGGCCCCACTTTCTAGAGCTTCCTCTGTAAATGTGCTCTTCCTCCTTGCCTTTCAGTGGTGACCAGATTGGATCTAGGTTAGCATGAAGCAGAGGAAAAGGAAGAGAGATTAAGTAGTAAGTCAAGTTTGCAGCTGCGCTGACTGCTAGCAAATTTATTATGAACAAAGCTAGTTAATTTTACTACTTAGGCCCAGAAAAGAAAGTGCCCCTCCACTACCTTTATTTCCTAAATTATCCACAGCCACACGGCAGTTTTGCATGTGCTTGGGTCCCTACAGCTGTCTCCCATGCACCAGAAAGATCTCTCAGATCTTGCCTACAACTCTCAGTCAGGATTTAAAGAGGTCAGTCAGGACCACCACAAGCCAAACTAAGTAACAAGAGCGACTTTACTCAGAGATGGGTGTAGTTCAGTAGCAGAGCATAAAAGTGGTCCCGGGTTAGATCACTAGCTAAACTTAAATAAGAGACTTCACTGACCTATGTGGTAGTGCAAACAAGACAGACAAAGGTACCCACTCCACGTGTTCCATTCTTGTCCCATGGAAAGGCAGCAGGCAAGGGCTGGTTAGATGTAGTGCAGACACAGGAAATGCCTCATCCTAAGAAGCCCCAAATACAAAACCCCTGTGAGAAGCCATGGACGCTGTGGGAAAAGCAAAGCAGGGCTTAGAGCAGAAAGGCATTGGTTCAGAAACGCCTCCTTGAGACCCCTGATAACAAGCTCTCAGCAGAAGCACCTAGGACGCAGGGGAGGGCCACAGCCTTGGCCTCCGTTACCTCCTGAGAACAGCTCCCCACTAAGGCCTGCTAGGCAAAACTTGTTACTGCCTATGATTAGGACGGAAAGAACACAGAGAATTCTGCTCTGGAAACAAACACCTCCCCTCCTGAGGATACCCAAAAGCCCACAGCTCTACACAGAGTACACAGAGATGCCCCTTCACCTGCCCCTCTGCTTGCTTCACTCGCCACGCCTGCTCCTGCACGTTCTACACTCGGGCAAAGCCACCCTCTCCAAACTATTACACACTTGCACACTTGTGTCACAGTTGGCCCTACTGTTTCCACCTTTCCCTTCTTCGTCAAACACTTATCCTGAGACCTGTCTGAACTGCCACCTCCCCAGGAAGCCACCTTCCTTCTAGATATGAGCTAATGCTTTGTCAGTGGCTCCACTAGCCGTTAAGAACACACAGCTCTACTCCTGTAGCTGCCATATAATCTTCTATGCCTATCTCTGCAAGGAAATAAATTCCCAGAGAACAGAAGCCACACCCTATTCTGTTCTGTGTCCCCAGTATCTCCTGAGCATGACACACAGCAGGAACATGGGGTACAATCTATTTGTGGAAACCAGTGTTCTACAAATCAGCACCAGCACACACTAGTAACAGGCCATGTCCACAGCAGGAATGTGACAAACCCACCTATGAGCCAGTTCTGGTAACAGGGTCCTCTCACGGATGCCCTTTCCTTCTCGAGGGTCCAGCTGCTTAAAGCCACCTGCTCATGAAGTTGTGCAAGGTGGACCTGCCTCTCTGGGCTTTGGCATCAAACATGGGTTCATACTTTATGGGAAGAAATCTCAGTATATGCTGCCCCTCCAAGTCTTCATTTCATGTTTCTTCACCCTCATTTCTGGGTCATCAAAGACAGTTATCAAATATCTACTGGGAAAAACCAGCAAAACCAATAAAGTCCTGAGAAGAAATAATAGTTACTACTTGGGCTTTTTGCTAGGCTTCGTTTGACCGGCATGGCCAAGAGAGCCACCCCTCCTCTATCCTAGGAAATGGGTTTCAAAGTAGCTGAATGGCTCTTTGGAGTTCCTTCCTCAAAAAGCCACCTTACACCCAGTACAACTGGCTTCTTAGTCTATGGTCTCAGGACCCATGGCTTCCAACAGTTCCTGAAGGTCTTTTGATAATGTATTATCAGGACTGAAACACTTCAAGGTGTCCATTTGTGAACTGCTAACCACAACTTTTCCCCTGTAAATTTTGAATGTCCTATAACTTAATTTTCACGCAATTTTTATGAGTAGGAGAGAAGAAGGAAGTGTGGGCCCAAACAGAAAACAGAGACAGGGAGCAGAGCCAGCAAATGTGTGCGTAGTCGACAGACCTACGACAGTGAATCAGTAAATGTACTGTAACCCTGCACCTTTAACAAGCCCTACTGTCTAGCGGTGCCATCAAAGAGAACACCAGACTTCATTTCAGAGGTACAAGGCAAAACAGAGCTTGCACAAGCTTGAATCCTGGACTTAGAAGATTCCATGGCAGGGGAATGGGAGATTCACTCAGTTAAAAGAAAAAAAAAGTCAAGTGTGTGCTAGAAATATAAGAATCTCTTCTGCACTTACTAGGAAGGCACAGAGCTACAACTCCAGAAAACTCAGGCTGGTGTCAGAGGGAAACCAAGTACTTTTAAAATCCTAATGTAAATAGCAAAGATGAGCTTCTTACTGGGTTCTGTGGTATGTGTATGTGTCCTAAATTCGTATTTTGAAACCCTAACCCTCAAAATGATGGTATCGGGAGGTAGGGCCCTCGGGAAGTGACCAGACATGAGATCTCTACCCTTATAAAGACGCTGTAGAGATCTGGGTCTTTCCACACGTGAGGACACAGAGAGCAGCTGGCCTTGTACTATGCAGCAGAGGACCTCAGCGGGCACCAGATTTGTCAACACCTTGACTGTGGACTTCCCAGCCTCCAGAACCATGAAAAACAAATTCCCATTATGTACAAGCCACCAGGTCTATGGTATTCTATGATGTTTTTCGCAGCCCAAATAGACTAAGATAGCTGGTAAATCTTCACCAATAGCTACCAATTTTCACTGGTATAATCAAAAGCAATTCTAATAAATATGTACCTAAATATATATAACCCTAAATATATAGAGATACAGAGATAGACAGATAGACAGATAGATATTGTGTGTGTGTGTGTGTTTTTTGAGACAGGGTCTCACTATGCAGCTCAGGCTGGCCTTGAGCTCCCTTTACAGCCAGGCTGGTCTCAAACTCTTGACGATCCTCCTGCCTCAGCCTCCCACCTCATGCTTGCACCACCACACCTGGCTACAGCTATGTAGTCTTGCTGAGTCGTCTTCTGTTTTTATACAAAGCATCTGTATGTTCTTGTATCCTCTGACATTAAACAAATTTGAGATCCTCAATGTGGGAAGAAGGATCAGCAATTTGTATGGACCTGACACCTACAAATACAACGTTACAATCTTTTTTTTTTTTTTTTATGAGCAGAATATATTTATTGAGAGAAAGAAAGCTCCTGTCTCAAGGGGGGGGGGCGAGGTAGTTCCCCCCCAGGGAAGTTGTCACTTGCAGGGACTTTTATTGAGGCCCTGGAGCTGACTTGCACGAGTTCGTGTTCTCTAAAACTGAAGAATGAATTTTAGGAACAAACGGAGGTTATGAGCAGAATATATTTATTGAGAGAAAGAAAGCTCCTGTCCCGAGAGAGGGACAGGGGTCGGGGGGCGAGCGGGTAGTACCCCCCACAACGTTACAATCTTAAAATACTATAAGGAATGTGGTCCTCTAAAATGAAATCAGCAATGGTTGAGGAAATAAGTGAGTGCCCCCTATACTTACAAGAGAACATGAGCGACGATAGCGTTCACATCGAACAAGGTGTCCACTGGGAATTCTCTGAGCAGTACATTGCCTCTATAAAAAAATTAAAAACACATTATAGAAATCTTTCCTTAGAATTCACTCTACTTGCTTTTCTAACACGTCAGGTTATAGGTTCCTTGATGTTAGCACTGGTGTCTTACGTGCCCTGGGCACCCACCAGAGAGCTGGTACATAATGCACCCCCAAGTATTTATTGACTATGCACTCAGTAAATAAGTTGGCTTTGAAAATCTTAGACCCTGGATCTGATGAAAAAGCTTAGAAACATATGAGTCAAAACAAGGATCCCTGGCTACTTCGCAATCACACACAGCTTCCCTAACTGGGCTGGGAAGGAGAGGAGTGGGACAAAGAAGGGACCTAGCAGGAGGTCCTCTGAGCAACCAGCATCTCTCCCCACCTCCTCTCCCCACTTCCTCGGCCAAACCTATAGTTTTGAGGGAAAGATGCGTGATGCCCCAAATAGATCAGAAGACCTAAGTACAAAAGAATCTGTGACCTAGACGCTGAAAAATAAGAGTACCTCCAAGTAGGGGGCTCACACAGCTGCCGGGAGCATGGAATTCTCTAAGTGCTACTTCGCCAGGCTGTGTAGCAGAGAGGAAAGATTCTCATGTAGCTTCCAAAAGGATCCTGCGAGGCAGGTTTTAGTCTTTATATTTCATATGCAAGGAAGTTAGGAGAGGCTGAGCAGCAAGGATACTACTCAGGCTTTTTGCTAAACTTCACATAATCCCCAGTAAAGACAACTTTAATGTGGCTCAGTGATAGCTGATATACCTGAATATTCTAGAATATAATTTTATATTTGTACTTTACACTCAAAAAAACCTTACCTGAATAAATACGCTTTCAACAATTCCTTTTCTTTACCACAGTACCTTGATGTTTCTTCTTCCGCACAATTAACCTTTAAAAGATTATATTTAAGGTTTAGCACATACACCAAAAGGTCAATAAATACACACAATAAATAAGTTTCTCAGGAAAACAAGAAGTAACCGTTATGGCTTTTACCAGGCCAAACTTTGTATTTTACTTTTTTTCTGCTTTTTATACAATGACTTCTCTTACTCAAGTGTATGAAGAAAGGCAGCGAGAGGAACTGTTTGTGCACCCAAGACTTATACTGAATTATGCCTAAGCATTGCCAATTAATTGCATCTCTCCAAACAGGTAACAGAGTAACTGGGTAGAAAGAAAGGTGTGAAAAGCCAGGAAGCAGGGGAGGGTGGAGCTCAGCGGTAGAGCAAGTACTTAGCAAGTGTAAGGACAGGGATCAAAGTCAGCACAAAACAGAGGGGAGGAAGCATAAGAGCTGGGTGGGGGGCTGGACCCAGGAAGGCATCTCAGCAGCTGAACACAGCCCCGGCAGACCCTGCTCGTTCTACTCCAAATCTACCCATTTTCTCCTGCTTACTAACAGAAATTTGCTAAAACTAAATACCTGACAGGAAGCTGTTCTAGCCACCCCGATGGCCGGCAAGGGCCAAAGGATGGTAGCAGATGTGACTGGATTCCCTAGAAGGCTCTGGACAGGGGACTGAGTGCGGCTCTCACTCTTCATCCGTTGGCAAAAAGTGGACACAGCAGCCAGGGTACCAGTGGACTCACGGAGGAGACCACTTGCAAAGGTGTGGCAAGAGAAAAAACGAATCTGAGTCCCCAATGACATTAGGGCAGCCAATCAGCCCTGAGCTGGTTATGAGAGAAAGACAAGTCCAGGATGACTGAATAGTTTCCCATTTTAAAATAGACTTTTTCTTTCTTTTTTTTTTCTTTTTTTTTGCAGTACTGGGACTTGAACTCAGGACCCTGAGCTTGCCAGGCAGGCACTTATTCTACTGAGCTATCTCCCTGTCCCTAAAATAGATTTCGGAGTTCTTTTGTTTTGTGCAGCAGCTTGGAGTCCTAGTGATCCTCTTGATTTCTGCCGCCCTAGTGCTGGGATTACAGGTGTGCGCTACCACACTTGGACTCCATCGCCGGCTAAGTGCGGCCGGAGGTGGGGCTGGCGCAGCCTATGGTACCAGGAATCGCACCCTGGCCCCTGCGCTCACCTAAGCAAGCACTTAGTCAACTGAGCTAGATAGCTGGCCCTTAAAATAGATTTTGAAAAGAAGGGAAAAGAAAAAAACTATAT